TCTGGAAAGCAGTTGTAATTCTGAGTGATCTCCAGCCCTCACCTGGAGATTTGCAACCATGGTTTCCCCCAACAGACACTAAGGGGAGATTTATTTTACCTCAGAACATCAACAGCAAACTGTTTAGAATGTTAGAGGGAAAGGCCAGTGAGGCCGCATATGCAAACGACTTCTGTGTTCCGAGGTAAAGGCGAATCAGGCCACATATGCAAATGACCTCTGTGTTCTGACTGGCTGTGGGGGGGGAGAGGAAGAGCAAACTGTTTAGAATGTTGGAGGCAGGACTCAGGCAAAGCAGCCAGTGGATAGGGAGACCCTCTGAATGACAGATCAGAGAGCGAACTGATTTTGGAGCGTGTTGGAATGTTCAGGGGAGTCCATGACCAAAACAGGATTATACATACCGGAGGATAATTCTAGGATTCTATGAATATGCTGGTGGTGCTGGCCACCAGCAGAGGATCATCTGCGTCCCCCCACATGCAAACTCCGATCCCCACAGCCATCTGGGACAGTTTCCCCAGAGCTGCAGGTTGAGTGGAGAGGCGTGCAGCCTCACTTCAGAACCCTGAGCTGGCATGAATGTGGCTGGAGGGACTCCCAGTTTACCAGTAAGGCTGCCACTGCAGCAAAGGGGTTCTGCTTGTTTGCTGAAGACGAGGTTGCTCCACCACACTAAAGCCATGATCAGAGTGGCTGCCCCTACTCCCCCCGAGCAGCCCCTGTCCCCTCCCTTGGCTGGATAAGAGCCCTGGACAGGCTGGTTGTGGTGCTCGGGCCCTGGGCTTGACACCCTTGCTGTTGAGTCTGGGAGACATGGATGCTCCAGACTGACATCTCGTCTCCACTGAGCTCCCTCTTCTCCGCAAACCCCGCTCTCCCCTAAGCACTGCCCCCAAAATCTCCAGGAATTTCCCAGCAAGAGTTGGCAAATCTATCTTGTTGCCAGAAAGACATTTTTAATCAGCACAGGAAAATTGATTCTGGAATTTCCTAACAAGTCAGATGACTGTTTTTGTTTCAATTTGTACTTACATTACTTTCTGACCAGTACCATTTTCTCACGTGGTCGGCATGTGAGGCAGTCCCATTTCTAGATCATGTGGGGGAGCGAACAGCTCTGTGGACATGCACGGGAGGAGGAAGCTTCGTGACCCACTAGTGGCTTCTTCTGTTTGAAAGGGGGTTGGGGGTTGGGATGGCCCTCCACTTAGGGTTGCCAGCTCTGGGTTGGGAAATAACTGGAGATTGGGGAGGTGGAGCCTGAGAAGTTTGGGGAGGGGACTTTCACGGAGTATAATGCCATAAAGTCCACCTTCTAAAGTTGCTGTTTTCCCCAGGGGAGCGGATCTCTGTCGCCTGGAGATCAGTTGTAAGCCCAGGAGATCTCCAGCCATCATCTGGAGGTTGGCAACCCTAACCCTCCACTCACCAGCTATTCACACACACAAATGAGTAACCTGTATGAGAGGTCATTTGGATCAGATCTATATGCAGACTAGTAAAGCCTATATGCAGGCTAGCAAGGTTTGCCTTGCTCGAAAGCCAGTCGAGTCCGACTCTAGGGTTGCGGTGCTCATCTCCGTTTCAAAGCCGAAGAGCCAGCGCTGTCCGAAGATGTTTCCGTGGTCATGTGGCCAGCATGACTAAACACCAAGCCGCACGGAACGCTGTTCCCTTCCCACCGAAGTGGTACCTATTTATCTACTTGCAATTTCTTGCTTTCGAACTGCTCGATTGGCAGGAGCTGGAACTAGAGATGGGGGCTCACTCCGTCATGCGGCACACTCGGGTCTCGAACTGCCAAACTACAGACCTTCCGGTCTGCAGCTCAGTGTCTTAACTGCTAAGCCACCGCAGCCCCCACTGCAGGCTAGTCAAAGAAAAAAAGGGTTCCCCTCCATTTTAAGTATCCTGCCCGCAGGCACATTTGAGCCAAGCCCACCCATAGGGTATTTAAAGGAGGAAAAATATATTTCCTCCTTTTGTACAAGCTATCTGGGATCAGGTCTCAACACAGGCTACTCAAAGGGATAAATATGTTTTGAACCTAGACCAAAGAAGCTAAAACGGGGCCCCAGGCCCGGCCAGACCCAAGTAAACGTGGTTATCAGCAACAGAATTGTACAGCTAATTCCCGAGCTCTGGCCCGCTGATCTTTGCGCAGGTCCATGTGAAGGCCAGGATGCCACCGGGTGCAAAATTCAGCTTTCTGAAAAGCTCCGCTTGCTTGCTTTGTTCCCATCCCTTCTGGTTGTGAAGGTATTCATGTCCACCCATGGGCCATGGCAATTGTCAGTACCTGGGAGTAATGCTTCTTCTTGCCCTCCCAATGATAAACGAAAGCAGAGAAGATGAAGCAAAATTAGAGACCAGAGATTTAAAACAATGGATCCCTTCCCTCATCCACACTTACGACTCACCCAGCAGCAGGAAACTGAGCACCCACTGGAGGACTGACAGCAGCTGGATGCAGGCCTTGAAATCCTTTCTGGAAGGCCAGCCCACGTCAAGCAGAGTGCGGAGGGCAGCCTGGATGCTGGCGTGACTCCCTGCAAAGGAAAGGCTGTTGGCACTGTCCCCGTGTGCTCCTGGTCACGGCACACTCACCGGATGGCTTGAAGTTCCCCTTATCACCCGTGCCCCCAGGCACCTCCCTCTGCAGCTGGGCTTATTCCCAGAAATGGCAGACACACAATCCACACACACACACAATCCACACACACACTGGGCACTCAGAGAGACCAAGGACGGACCCTACCACACCCAATCCAAACCAGAAAAAACTCCTGCTCCATTTTAATGACTGATCGATGTAGTGGCCTAAGGTCTCAAGTAGCACCCATGAAGCAGAGCCCACTCTGCCAAGCGCACCCGTCACCAGCTGCTGAACTCCCCGGTGCCCCTGGGGTTTAATGGAGCAGCAGGGGAAACAGTCTCACGTGATGCCACAGCATTACTTCTGGCTGGGGTACTCAAAAGTGACACCGCGTCATGCAATGCGTCATGCAACATGCAAGAAATGTTACCAGGTTTTTACCAGAGAGTTTCAAGGAATCCCTAGAGCGTTGTGCAACATGGTGACATCCCTTCCAATACTGCAGCCAGAAGTAGTCTTGCAGCAGCATTGCACAAGGCCACCTCTGCTTGTCTCTGCTCCCTTGAGTCTCCCGGTGGCTGCCACCCCTCAAGTCTCCTGTTTGTTGCCAGCCAACCCGAAGGGGCAGACAGATTTATACCCAGACTTATAGACAGTAGGGCAACAGGGTGTGTGAGAGAGAGAAAGACAGGGAAAGTAAGAGGGGGAGGTTAGAAAACCGGTTACCAGGGATGAGGTGTGCAATATTTTACCGCAGAGCACAGATGAAAATCGGCAGCTCGACAATGGTGGAGGGGCCTCTGCAGGGGGGTGTGCCTGGCCTTTTCCTTGTCGCCCTTCAGAAGGCAGCTGAGGACAGTTTTATTTAGAACTTTGATTGATTGATTTAGCATTTATTATTGGCAGTCCTATTTGGAGTTTTGAAATTATTGACTTTTATAGGTTTTATAATTGTTGTTTTTATTGTGTTTTTATGTTTAATTTATATTGTAAGCCACTTTGAGAAAGGTGGCTAATAAATGTTTTAAGTAAATGAATGAGATCCAACTGAAAACAAATATACTCAGCATGGCTGTAGACCACCGATGATCAGTTCACAGAATAGGGCGCATATTAACAATGCGCCTGTGACTGTGCGAGGGGGGGCCACTTACGTTATGTAGTGAGCTAGCCCCCCCCCGCCCCCTGTGTCAGTATCATGTCTGCATATCAGTTCCAACTCAGCAGCGTCTTACTGGAGACTTTTTTTACATGTAAGTCCAGTTCCAGTTCAAAGTTTATTCCATGTAGCCAATGGCCATCACATTATAAAAGATAAAAAACAGTACAAAGATTGGCAATGCATTTAAAAGAAAATTAAAATATATAGATGAAGTATGAGTAGAAGTTTTAAAATCAGGTTTCTCAAATAGCACATTCTGAAAGTACAGTCATTCCGTAGCCTTATCTCTAATTTTCCTTGCAGCATGAGCATAGAGTGCCATTCTGTAGGAGACAGTGGGATGGACGTCTGAGAGCAAAAAAGCTACTATTTCAATGCCTGATGTGGATTGTAAAGTTGTTAGGACTGGGTTAAGAAATTTGATTCTGAAGCCAGTATACAGAGATACACAGATAGCATTCTTTATAAGTCTTAATGACTGTTTGATTTGTGGGTCAGACTATCACGACTGTTGGTTTTATGCCAGTATACCGAGGGCATTCTAAAATGTAATGTGTGGGACTGCCAGAATGTGCCTCAAAGAATTATTTTGGATTATTTCCAGTTTGGTAAGGGTTTGATCTTGCCATCCCCATACTTCAACACCACAGAGTATTTGGGGGATGACCTTGCTAATGTAAGAGCATAAGAAAGGCCCAGCTGGATCAGATCAATGGTCCACCTAGTCCAGCATCTTGTCTCACACAGTGGCCGACCAGTTCCTCTGGACAGCCAACAACAGGGCATAGAGAGCAAGGCCTTCCCCTGAGGTTGCCTCCTGGCTCTGGGATTCAGAGGTTGACTGCCTTTGAACGTGGAGGTTCCCCTCAGCCACCATGGTGAGTGGCCATTGATAGATTTATCCTCCATGTCACAGCCCTGGTATTCCTTAAGAACATAAGAGATGCCAATGTTGGATCAGGCCAAAGGCCCATCCAGTCCAACACTCTGTATCACACAGTGGCCAGAAATACCAGTGCCATCAGGAGGTCCACCAGTGGGGCCAGGACATTAGAAGCCCTCCCACTGTTGTTGTGTAATTTATTTTCAAATTTTCTTCTGAGCAATAGTCCCCCAGGCCATTCAGCAACTTCCTCAGACCCACTCTGGTTAAGGAAATCAAGACCATCTCATCTGCATATAGTAGTAGAGAGATCTTCTGATTATTAAGTGAGGGTGCAACAAATTTCTGGTTGGACAGTCTTTCTACGATGTCATCGATAAATAAGTTGAAAAATAAGGGAGCTGGCACACATCCCTGCTTTACCCCTCTTACTGTAGGGATTTCTCTGGTCAGGGAACCAGAGGTGCCCACTCTGATCTTTGCAAATGTACCAGAATACAATTCACGAATCAGTGCTAAGAGTCTTTTATCTATATCTGTCTTCCCAAGTTTTTCCCATAAACGGTTTCTATCTATAGAATCAAAGGCTGTGGCTAAATCCACAAATACTGCATATAGGGCTTTGGTTGGACCTTTCCTTGCCGAATAGGCTAGTTGGTAAAGTGTGAGGCAGTGGTCTGTTGTCCTTTGGCCTCTACGAAAGCCTGCTTGGTGAGGATGTAGAATGTGATTGTCTGTTGCCCATTCCTCCAAGTTCTTTAATAGATATTTTCCGTATGGTTTTGATGCTGTGTCAAGGAGAGATATTGGCTGATTGTTACTTGGGATCGACTTA